TTTGAGAAGCCTTGACATCCCTGCAGCCATCTCCCAGTGTCGAGGGAGTTGGAGCCCAGTGATTTAACATGGAACTTATTGACAAGTAGAGTTTGCAGCCATGGGAGCTTGAGATCTACTAGGGATGTAGTTTAGACAAGAGAGGTTCAAGACTCATCCCGGGGCACTCAGACTTTGAGAGGTTGAAATAGAGAAGCAACCAGCTAGAGATTGAGAAGGAGCAGAATCCTGGAGACCTAGAGAAGGAAGCTTCAAGAGAGTAAGCCCGGAGAGAACTGTCACAGGAATGGTGACAGTTTTGTTGGGAGTGGACAGTTAAAGCCTGACTGAATATAAATAGGAAGGAGAGTGGGGTCCAGGTAGTGTAGACAGAACTGTTGAAGGGCTGGTCTACAGAGAGGAGCAGGGAGAACTGGGAAGGTAGCCCACAGGTAGACTGCTTGTCTGGCAAGTGTGAGGTCCTAAGTTTGATTCCCAGTAGGAAAGTGGGGGCAAGAGTCAAAATGAGAGGTCAAGAAAGGTTATTTTTTTTTGTTGTTGTTGTTTAAAAGACTTATTTATTTATTTATTTGTTATGTATACAGTATTCTGCCTACATGCCAGAAGAGGGAACCGGATCTCATTATAGATGGCTGTGAGATGCCATGTGGTTGCTGGGAATTGAACTAAGGACCTCTGGAAGAGCTGCTAGTGCTATTAACCTCTGAGCCTCCTCTCAGCCCCCTGTTGTTGTTGTTTCAATACAGGGAATGGTCTCCAAGTTTCTATGCTTGTGGAATTGAGTGATAGGCAGGACAAGCTTTAAGCACATTGCTGCAGGAGGCAGAGGCGAGAATGGGGATGGCCAATGGGTAGGGAAGGCTGGAGCTCTGAAGGTCAGTGGAGAGCAGTGAGCCCATGTGCAGAAAGTCAGAAGTGGAGGGGGGCAGGACCAGGAACAGGGTAGACATCGTGGGGGAAGGTAAGGAGGCAAAGGACAGCTGCTGAGAACAGGTGGGACAGAGGCCCGGAGGCTGAGAGAGAAAATGGGCGTGAGAGTCATCTGCAGCCAAGGGAACAAGTGGGAGGGGCTGGGGTGAGGGCTCAGTTCAAGTGAATGGCAGTGAATAAGAAGCTAATGAAATTTAAAGTAAATTTAAGCACAAAGGCTCCGGCCTTTACAAAGTGTAAAGACCCCAGTCTTCACAAAGGCAGAAGTAGCCCTTGGTTTCCTTTCCCATTTCCTCTATCGAATCACGTATATCCTGCTATTCCCTTTTCTCCTAACATGTTATAAAACACAAAGGGAACCCAATGTAAAGAGATTAAAATTTTAACGGTGTGTATCTTCTCCAAATCCTCCATGGATTCCCTTAAGTTAGAATTCAGGCTGCAGCGTGGTTTCCAGAGCTACTGACCCTGGATGTCCCAGCTGACTGTCCGCTGGTCCTCCACAGAAATCTTGCCCTCTTCCTGGCTGACCTTCTACCCATTCATGCAAGTCCGTGCCTCCCCCCCCCCCAAGCCTGTGAGCTGAAGCTGACACACCCACTCCACCTGGCTTTGCCCAAGCATTGGCCTTCTGAGCTCCCCTCCCCTGACGGCCCCAGCCTGCCTTTCCCTGCCTTTGCATGGTGCTCTGGGCAGAGCAGACATTGAACACTGGGCTCTTTCTGAGTCCTTTACATGGAGTTCTTGCTTCCTGCCTGTGCTGGATGAGTCAGAGGTCGGGGACAGCTCTCCTTCTAGCACTCAGAAATATTTTGTGATCTTGTCAAGGCCCAAAGAAGGCAGGACTGGTAGGCTAGTCTCAGGCAGGGTCCCAACTTCCTTCCTATTGTCCTGGCAATGGACATTTGTAAATCCCAGTAAACCATTATTTACAATATGTCCCCAGGTCACAACAACCTGTGTTTGTCTCCAGCCTCCCCTGTGCAGTTTTTGAAATGCTGCATGGGTTTAATCAGAGCCGAAGGCCCCATGAGGTGGGTTGGGTGTTGCTCTTTCCTCTGGGATGGTTGCTGGTACAGAGGTTTTCAGCATCCCACTGCTGGCAGTGAGGTCACCCATGGTCACCCATTTTGAGGCCTCTCTACCCCCTGGGTGGCATCAAATTGAGCCCCACACAGTTATTACAGGCATAATGGGATTCATTTCAGCCAAGACCTCCTGGCTGGGGCCGAGCTTATTTTAATTTTCAATGTTAATAAACTCATGGCTAGTGCCTTCCCCACACTGACGTGCAGCACACCTCATTTCTTCTGCCCATTAGGCAATTTCCAGTGGTGCCGCTGTTCCCAGCACCTCTTAGCCATGGAGCAATTAGGTTTATTTGGAGAAGGAGAAGGCAGCTTGGGGAGGGGGAATAAACGCAGTGGTGTAGAACTCTCCTCCCACCACCATCAGGCGTGCCCCATGTACCTCCCTGTGCTAAGGAACCAGGGCTGAGACTCGAGTCTTCACAAAAGCAGAAACAGCTCTTGGTCTCCTCTGGAGTCCCTAGGCACGCCACCTGAGCCAGCCCTGGCTGCCCTAGGCCTCCAGCTCTCTGCTCTGGGCTGTGGAAACAGCCCATCCAGCCTGGGAAATGAGCTGCTGATGTTCATTTATCTTGAAACGGGGAAGTTTTCCATAGGTCTTAAGTGTATGTTAATGCATTGAGAGTAATGATCCCTTTATTTACAAAGTTGTTTAATTCCTCACTTTTGTGCTCCTTGTGGGTCTGAGTGGATTTTTCATTTACCAAGTTACTCCATGATTTTCACAGCTGCTTAAACACCCCTGTCTCTCCCATCCCCGCCCATTCTGATTGAAAGTGGAGCACAGTGATTGCCCGTACACTTAGACTCTGCTGCAAAATCTCCCTGTGTCTGCAGAATGGTTCATAAGAAGGGACAGTGAGGCCCCGTGTGCCTTGGAGCCAAGACCAGGCCATAGCTCTGCATCCAGGAAGCAGAGCCTTCATCCCAGGCCAGCACTGAGTTCTCTACTGCTCTGAGATGGCATTGGCCTGCCTGATGATCCTCCTCTGCCTGACCTGATTACACCCTAGTGCTTGCCTGTTTGACCCCAGTGTCTCCAAGTCTCTGTCCCACTTGACAAGTTTCAATAATTTCCAATTACTTGTGTCAGCTTGGGCACAAAAGTCCTTTCAGAACATAGCAGCTAGGGGTTCATGGTTGAGGAATTTCCAAGCTGAAGTTTCCTATTTGTTAATGGTTTCGGTGTCATTGTAACGGATTGCAACTGGTTACATTTTTATGTTTGCCTTTTACATCTACTTATTTATTTGTGTGTGGGGATGGGAGCAGTGAGTACTTGAGTTCTGGCACTTATGTGGAGGTCAGAGAAGGACCTTGGGGAGTCAGTTTCTCTGTCTACCATGGGGTCCAGGGAAATCCGACTCCTGGTCATACTTAGTGGCAACTGTCTTTACTCGCTGATACATCTTGTTGGTACACCATTTTATTTTTGGAGACAAGGTCTCACTGTTGTAAGGATGGCCTAAGCTAGGCTCTCTGACTCCAGACTCTGACACCCACTACCACATCTAGATAGCAACTTGGGACTTTTCACAGAGATCAAAAAGAACAACACAACACAGGGAGCACTGGCGAGCATGATGCTTGGTGACGGGGAAAACCCTTTCCTACGGTCTTGTTTGAATTTGTTCTTCCTATAAATAACCACCGAGCCTCTAGTCCCCATCAGGCTGACTTCTCAAGAGCCAATTTCAGTCACGTGCTTCTGTCTGTATCAGCTTAGAGATGAGTTTCCCGCCCCACGTGGGCCTTTTCCCAGTAACCCAGTGTAAAATACATTTATGCAGCATCTCTCCTATAGTAGATGCAAGTTATCTAGAGAAGAGTTAGCGTCCAAGAGAGGATGTGTGCTGGCCACAGGAAAATGCAAGATGCATTTTCCATAGGGAACCTCGATACCTCCAGGTTTTGGTATCCACAGGGTCCTGGAAGGAGTGCTTAGTGGACACCTTAAAACCGATATATTTACACCGGCTCACAATGCAAAATGTAACTCTTACTTGATGGGGAATGTACTTCTTTGTATGTTTATCATATTGATTGTTAAATAAAATACTGTTTGACCAATGAGACAGCAAGTAGACGGGACTAGGAGTCAAAGAGGATTCTGGGAAATGTAGTAGAGAAGTGCTGATCCAGGCAGGAAGTGACATAGCAAGGAGACTCATATTTAAGCAAAGGTCCCTTTTTCTCCTTCCTCCTCCAGCGGCAGGATGTGAGCCACCGGCAAGGAGGGACGCCAATAAGGCATCCGATAAGATAAGTCTTATAAAATATATAGATTTATGATAATTAAGACTGAGCTAACAGATGAGAAATCCTGGTCATTAGCCAAGCAGCTTTAAACCTAATACAAGTTTCTGTGTATTCATTTGGGCCTAACTTGGGCGGGCGGCTGGTGTAAAGCTCACACGTGGCGGTGGGGCTCAGGAGGCTTTTGGCAGAAAGATTTATTGTAACACTTACTCTACCTCCATATAAGTTAACTTAGAGGAAGTCTGATGCTGTGAGTTCCCAGCATAAGCCAGGATCCATGAGTCCCCGTCCTGTTTTGGCTCAAGCTCCTTGATTGCCAGTCTGGACCCTCATTCCAGTCTTCAGTACTCTTGGTTGCACAGTGCTTGCCCAACAGGATCCAAACTTTGTGCTTTAAACATTGCTTCCCCAGTGGGGGCTGGAGAGATGTCTCCATGTTAAGAGTGCTCCATGTTCTTCCAGAGAACCCAGGTTGGATTCCAAGCACCCACATGATAGCTCACAACTGTCTGTAACTCCAAGTCCAAGGTATCTGGACTCTCTTTCCTGGACACACACATGGTACATTTGTGTTATACAAATGCAAAGGCCTTGTATGGTAAAAAGAGAAGAAAAAAATAAAAATATATAACAAAATAAAACTAAAAATAAGATTTGTTTCTGTTTTTGCTTTTCGAGATGGGGTTTCTCTGTGGCTTTGGAGGCTGTCCTGGAACTAGCTCTTGTACACCAGGCTGGTCTCGAACTCACAGAGATCCACCTGCCTCTGCCTCCAGAGTGCTGGGATTAAAGGCATGAGCTGCCAACGCCTGGCAAAATAAGATAATTTTTTTTTTTTAAAGAAAAAGCCCTGACAGGACATTAAGCGACAAAGAACTTCCAAAGATGATGTGGAGTTCATTTTGTGATGGCATCTACTGCTGGGCACGCAGCCTACCCTTAAGAGTAGCTTGCTTCCCTCATGAGACTCCCTTGGAGAAAACAAAATTTTTATTTGCAAGTGGTTATCTATTGGGGATAGCTTCTGGGCTAGGGATGGGGGCAGGTGTCCACTTCTTTCCCTTCTTAGGACCCCATCTAGTGTAGACACATGTAGGCCCTGGGCATGCTGCCTCAGTCTCTGTGAGTTCGTTTGTGTGCTGATCTGTTGATTTACAGGGTCTTGTTTTCTTGGTTTCCTCTCGATGGCTTTTACACTCTCTCTGCCTCCTCTTTTGCAGGGTTCTCCGAGCCTTGAGGGGAGGGATTTGATTGAGACACCTCATTTAGGACTGAGTGTCCCAAGACCTCTCCCTTTCTGCCTGTTGTCCAGCTGAGTCTGTATTTATTCCTGTCTACTGCAGGAGGAAATGTCTCCGGTAATGGCTGGGCAAGAAAACATAGATCTATGAGTATAGCAGAATATTGATAGGGATCATTTTACTGCTGTTAGGAGTCATTTGTTAGCAGAACAGAAGTTAGTACTTCGCTTTATATTGGGCCCCTAGTCTCAGGCTCTTGGTCACCCAAGCAGTCTAACGTAGGGTTCCATCCAATGGATGGGGCCTGAAGTCAAATCAGATATTGGTGGGTTACTCTCACAAGCTTTGGATAGTGTCTGTATGATAGCTGCAGTTTGATTGATTCAGCCCACTGTGAAGAAACACTATTGGTAACCTATTCGAAGAGGGCCTCGAGTTTAGACTTTCCACATTATCTTAAACAGAAGGTAACATGCAAGCTTCCAAAGGAGGGAAGCAACCAACAGTCCTACCCAGCTATGACATCTATGAACCATAAAAAATGATCAACACGGCATGATGACCAGAGGGCCACAGTAGTGGTATGTGTTCCTTGGTTGTAACCAATAGCTCTCTAATCAAATGTATGAAGTATTCCCCTGTTACAGTAAGAACTGGAGGAGACTATGATTCCTATTGAGTGGAAATAGGGGTGTTAAATTCTCTGAAATTTGTCAGATAATCCCTGCCTAACAGCTGGTTGTCTAGAGACAACTACACAGGATCAGGTCCCCAGGGTTGGCTGTACTGTGCAGTCAGCAAGAAGAACTAGGGAAAGAGTGGAGAAGACCTTAGCTCAAACCTTTTTGCTTCCATTCAGAATACTCAACAACAGCATGGCACTTCGTTCTTTACCTGCCCAGCTCTTTAGTGTGTCTCCACTGGTTTCTGAGTCTGAGTGAAAAGTATGGTTAATTATCAGCCTATAACATAAACTTCAGAAAATATTATACTATCATACAATAAATATTGTTTTTATCTTAATTTTTCATAAAGGAAGTCATCCTCTCCCATTTGGAAAATAACTTATTTCTTTTATAGTTTGAGAATTTCATAATGCACATAATGTGTTTTGATCAAATCTATTCTTATCCCCTGACTCCCCTCTCCTCCAATTCCTCTCCTGCCTTCCCACCACTTTGCCCTCCCAA